ATGGGTGGCTGGACATAGTCCATGGAGTTAAGCAATCCACAGATAGGTCAGTCAATGGAATCAAGCTGAAATACAAAGAGCACATAACATGTAAATGACTGGGAGAGGGAAACCTGTTTATTCTAATACCTTTAAATGGAACCTGATTCAACTATTCCAGAAAGAATGAGAATCATTTAAAGCCTCCCAAATAGCCTATAAAAGTGCCTAGTATTTCTTATCTCGCTATGTAAATTCAGTTTGTTCTATACTTAAAAGCATTTATTCACTATCTATGAATAGTCACAAAGCCAAGCCTAATGCAGCATCTTCCTAGAATTCAAAAGCACTTGCATTCTGCATTAGAGTGCAGCCAGCACAGACCAAGCATGAACCAAGTATGATATACATACTTGTAATCACAAGTTTTTAGAAATTAAATGTTCAACATTTCATATTCTGGCTTTGAGATATAGGTAAGAAAAGGTAACCATAATTGGCTAGAGATGAGTACTTGGGAGTCCTGGTATGGTACTGTGGGTTAATGGGCTGGACTGCAAAGTCTGTTTGAACCACAAGATTGGCAGTTTAAGCTCACCAGCTGCTCCTCAGAAACCCTACACAGGGTCGCTATGGGTAGAAGTCAACTTGACAGCACTTAACTAGTACTTAGTTTTAGAAAAAAATTGTTCTTAAGTTATAAATTAACTATCTTCATAACAACTTCATAAAGATTAAGTTCCATCAAGTCGATTCTGACTCATTACAGCCCTGTATAGAATTTCCAAGGAGCAGCTGGTTGGTTTGAAATGCCTGTCTTATGATTTGCAGTCCAGTGCTTATCTTACAGTGCCATACCAGGAATCCAACTATGAGATTAGGTATAAGTATCTCTTTTATAGATAAGGAAAACTGAGAAACAGGGAGGTTAATTTGTCCAGTTACAGTATAAGTAATTGCTGTAGGGCAAATCAAGAATAGGACACTCATGCAACCAGGTTCTGTGGCAACAACTAGACATTTTGTGTGTATGTGACACTTACAGGTTGTGCAGCAGCCACAAGAAAACATCATGATTATTTGTCCATGTTCTTTTTCTGTTGTTTTAATTTGCTGACACAATCTTTTTTAAAAACTGTCCAAGAGAGCTAGTCATTTGTTCATGAGAAAAGTTCCCATTAGAAATGTTGCCAATATGAAACACACGAGGAGGGATACAGCCCTCTACCAAATCTGTCCTTTCAGACAGAAGTGGCAGGGTGTGATGTTTGTTGTTGCTAGGTGCCATCGAGTTGGTTCCGACTCACAGCGACCCTGTATAAGGGTTTCCGAGGAGCGGCTGGCGAGCTTGAACTGCTAACCTTGTGGTTCAAACCAGACCTGCAGTCCAGTGCATTCACCCGCAGTGCCACACCAGGACTCCGGGTGTGATGTTATTGTTGTTGTTAGGTGCCATTGAGTTGGTACCGACTCATAGTGACCTTATGCACAGCAGAATGAAACACTGCCCAGTCCTGGGCCAACCTCACTTCTGTTGCCACGCTTGAGTCCATCGATGCTGCCACTTGGTCAATCCATCTCTTTGGGGGTCTTCCTCTTTTTCTCTGACCCTCCACCTTACCAAACATGATATCCTTCTCCAGTGACTGCTCCCTCCTGACAATATGTCCGAAGTATGAGAGACGAAGTTTGGCCATCTTGGCCTCCAAGGAACATTCTGGCTGCACTTCTTCCAAAATGGATCTATTGGTTCTTTTGGCAGACCATGGCACTTTCAATATTCTCCTCCAACACCATAACTCAAAAGCATCCATTCTTCTACAGTCTTCCTTATTCACTGTACCACTTTCACATGTATATGGGGCTATTGAAAATACCATGACTAGGGTCAGGCACACCTTAGTCCTCAAGCTGACATCTTTGCTCTTCAACACTTTGACAACTTCAATTTTTCTCCAGTGATAAGAATGTTGTTTATTGGTCCAGTGGTGAGGATTTTTGTTTTCTTGACATTGAGATGTAATCCATACTGAAGGCTGTGCTCTTTGATCTTCATCAGTAAATGTTTTAAGTCCTCTTCACTTTCAGCAAGCAAGGTTGTACCATCTTCATATCACAGGTTGTTAATGAATCTTCCTCCAATCCTGATGCCACGTTTTTCTTCATAGAACCCAGCTTCTTGTATTATTTGCTCAGCATACAGGTTGAAAATGTATGGTGAAAGAACACAACCTTGTCGCACACCTTTCTTCATTTTAAACCATTCGGTGTTCTCATGAGCTTTTATTCTGTCACCCACTGAAGCCCTTGTGAAGCGGGCATCTCTGAGTGATAAGCATTTTCCGGAGCCTACGCACTGAATTGCTATGTATGTTTGGAAATGAAGAGGCTACAAAGTGATATTGTTGTTAAGTGCCATTGAGTCGGTTCTGACCCATAGTGACCCTTTTAGGGTTTCCAAGGAGCAGCTGGTGAGGTTTAACCACCATTTTGAAATTCAAATGGCTTTGCAGTCTGGCGCATTAACCCACAGCGCCACACCAGGACTCCACAAAGTGATGTAGTAGAGAATAAATTTGAATTCTGATCCCTCTAGGTAAGCCTTTGAAAAAGGTGACATGGGAGATGCTGCCATACCAATGCTGAAGTAAGAACAATGTCTTTGTGTGAGTCTTTTCAACATTCAGTTCTTTATAGATACTCAATATGTCATATGAAGTGTTTTTTTGTTCAAGTATTAATAATATTCACTCAAAATGAAAACAAGATACTTTAATAACATCAACCAGAGCAATCCCGTATAATCTAAATGATTAATTCATTAACAAAGTCAACCAAAGAAGGAAGTTTAGAACCTCAATCAACAGACTTAAATAATTCCAATTCTCAGTTTAGCCACATTCTAGTGTGTGACCAGGGACCAGTTGTATTTACCAAATCATTATTTGCCTTTCTGTCATATAAGAATAAGAGGCGTTGTTGCTGTAAAGTGCTGTTGAGTTGGTTCGACTCATAGAGACCATGTATAGTAATAATGGTTATATGTCAAAAGATGTTTCTACTTATGTTTAAATGAGACTTTATCATATAGAGGCAAATACAAAGGGGTTTCACTAATTTTGTGGAAAAAATGGAATGAAAAGATCATGGAATTTTTCCATGAACTTTTTGAAGCCTTTTGTATATAAACAGTTAATATATAAGGTATTAACCTATTAGTATAAATACCAATAGACAATTTTATCTTAAAAATACAACAAACATTATCACTTATTATTTCTGGGTAGTGGGTACACATGTTTATACTTTTCTGTATTTCGTAAAGATTTCAAACATTTTTTTAAAAAGTCAAAATCTTGATCATATCCGTTTTTAATACATAAGCACACATGTAGGGTGGGCATCACTTTATGCATCAGAAGCACACTCTGTCACAACAAACTCACTGGAACAGTAGTTTACAGCCGAAAGCAGAGCACAGTGGAAGAAACCTCTGAAACTGAAGCCCCTTATTTTCCAAACAAGGGAACAACCTACGTGACTTTTCAAAGTCACATGCAGCTAGTTAATATCAACACAATCAAAACACCCTCGTTCTGATTCTTGAAGTGGTTTTTAGCATAAGTTCCACACTTGAAAACTAATTTTCTTATTTTGTTTTTTTATTTTCAGAGTCCAATTTTATGACACAGTTTACACTGCAAGCTTACATTATTCTCATTATTCACCCAAAACATTTTCTCTTGCCAGAATGCTGGCAAACTTCCCTTCAAAGTACCTTGACTTCTTAAGAACAAAGAGCTAGCAGATTTAACAAGACATGAAAATCAGGTAAGGTGCTCACAAGTCCTTTTCACCTGGTGTGAACTGAAAAGCATAAGCTGATTATTATTCTCTTTTATATTATTATTGCCAAGTATGTACAGCACACAGAAAAGTTTAAATGTCTTCAATTTGAAGAAATTAATCAGTGTTATTATAGAAACATCATTTGTTTTGGAAGATCATCCAGACTTGTAAATTGAAAACGATATACTTAAAATGTCAGAATTACATATCAAAGACTAGTTTAAAGATTATTCTTAAAAAGGATTTAATGGAAACAAAAATTTTGCAGAACACAGTTCTGAAAACTGAGAAGATGATCGCAACAACTTGTTAACTTGGTTAGCTACATAGACAGAAAAACAGCTCATTTTACTTTCCTGGTTAAGAATTTAATTTCTTAAAAATGCTAATATTGAAGGGCACCACTGGAAATAATTTGGTCTTTTATGGTATAGCATACATATCCAGACAAATCACTTTCTTACAGCCAAAAGTCTGGGAAAGAACCAACGAGGACAGCACCCAAAATAGCTTATTAAAACAACAAATACAACTCCTGAGTATAGTTTTCCATGGCTCGATGTTAACAGCACTAATGACCTCAAACAGGTTTAACAGAAAGAAAACATTAGGTTTAATACCATATAAAATATGTACATAACTTTAACATTCCTGAAAGATACAATTTAAACCACAATTGAATTATAAATGTAATCAGATATTCAGTTATAATGAAAAGGCCAGGTTTTTTTTTTATTTTAAAAAATGTAAACCATAAAAGATAAAAAGTGTTTAAAAATACACAACAAAGTACTAATCACTAAGTATATATTTTGATTAAAAATAAAAACAAAAAACGTGTATTTACAGTCTTTAAATTTTACATGTTGGTTAATTTTTACATGATCTTCATTATTAGGACAACATAAAACAAGAAAACGTTCTTTTGAACCACTTATGTAGTCAGAGACTGGTAGAATGCAGTGTGTATGCTAGTTAAAATACGAAAAGCCAAAGACTATTAGTGGAGTCAGAAAACAGACTTCACCAAAACGGCATAAAAGCAAACATGCAGTGTCACTTTAGAGACATCAACACGGGGACATAGTTTCCTTATCTAAAAAGGAAGAGTAGTTGGAAGGATTAAAGGAGATCATTTATGTGAATTACATATTATTATTTAAACATGTTCAGGGTGTGAAAGTTTACAGCACAGTTCATATCGGGATCTTTTCCTTTCAGATTTAAAAACATCGCACAGTATTTAGTTCTTAATACAAGAACCAATGCTTAAAAAATAAAATCATTAAATTGGAGTGTTTAGCTAAGTTGATTTTCAAAAGTTATTTATACAATGCTGCAATACTGATGATATTATGGGGATATTAAAGCTACCAAAACTCTGTAATAGTCTCAAAGGTTTGGTCTTCCAGGTTAGAGTCCAGTCATTTGCCTTATGAGAACACTGCAGAGACATCAGATATATCTTCATCTCTCAAGTAAGGTGACATGTGCCTTTTATGTTTTCCGTTTGTCGTAATCGCCCACCATCTTCTTGATATGGGACAATTTGCTTTTCAACTGCTTGCAATAATTCCTCTTACTTTTGTAATCTGCAGACTAAACATGGGGGAAAAAATGAATCAGGTAATTCAATAATAATAATAATAAAAGGTTATATGTTAGCTAATGGGAAGGCAGAGGTAGAAAGAAAAACGAGACTACTAATTAGTCAAATCAAGTTGTTGGGAGTGTTAAATGAGGAAACATACTAAGGCACCTAACAATATTCACTAACCACACAGACAGTCGATTCTCTTTCCTCTGTCACCTCATACCAACCTAACCTGAGTTTAACAAAGGATATACTCATTTGTAAACATTTGTAAATGACAGGGGAAATTATTGGCCTTTTTGCTAAGACACCATCTAAAAATTAAAACAAATAACTGATGATACTATTTTTCGTAAGGAGAACAGTATGAATTGGGAGGTTGAAGGTAAGAGAGAAAAGAAATTCTACCTTTTAAAATCATGCATTTAAGATTTTAAAATGTGTTTAATATAAATTTTTTTACAAGCAAAACATGTTTTAAGTCAACAGACTGATGACGCCAACACTTGTTTATGACAAAACATGTTTAAACTTGTCTCTGCCATCAGTGGAAGTCTGCAGACAAGTTCTCTCAGTGATGCAATTGTCTTCGCCTCATTAGGGTGCTTTCAAAAATAAAAGTCCACTCAAAACAATGGCTTCCAAGGGGATCTGCTGGGTCAGCTATATTCAAGGCAGAGAGATCAGCTCAAAAGGCTATGGAGACTCTTATTTGGAGACTCAAAAGGGCTAATCTTGATGATTTCCTTGAAGGATACAAGACAATCGCAGAGGCTTACTGTTTCTAAGTACTGTCAAGTCAGTTTCAACTCATAGAGACCCTGTATAGGGTTTCTGAGGAGCAGCTGGTGAGTTTCAACCACTGACCTTGCGGTTCAGTGCTTATCCTATAACGCCACACCAGGACTCCAGGGACTTATTAGGAAGAAGGTTTATAAAAACTGGAAACTGCACTGGTGAGAAAACAGCCAGAAAAGTTACCCTGAGGAATTTTATTACATGATGACAATGGACCTGCTTGTTCTTCGAGGGTAGTAAAGGCTGCCTATGAGAATTTTGTTGGGAAACCTTACTTCATCCCTCGTACTGCGCAGACCTTGTCCCTTCAGACTTCTTTATCGTCACAAAATTCAAGTAACAACTAAAAGGAACATGATTTGAGTCCCTTCAAGGATGCCCAAGTTGCTGTTTTTTATGATATAAACTGAAGAGTGCAGAATTCTTCAGGGAATGGTTAGAGAGATAGAAACACTGCCTTCAGAATGTACAGACCTAGATGGAGTAGACGTAAAAAACAATAGCTTCACATGTTGATATTTTTATTTAATGAAGGTTTCTATTATTTGTGGGGTTCTGGTGTGGTACTGCAGGATAAGCACTGGATTGCTAACCACAAAGTCAGTGGTTCAAACCAGTCAGCTGCTTCTCAGAAATGCTATATGGGTTTGCTATCAGTTGGAACTGAATTGATGACACTTCACAACAACCACCATTTTTTGTAGCAGTGTGTTGTACTGCTGGGTGCACACATGAATTGACCATACCGCCCTGGAAAAGTGTTTGAAAGAAGACACATGAACTAAGGTCCAAATACCCTAAAGTTTCACTCATCGGCTATGTGTATGGAAAGACAACTGCAAAAATGTTTGTAACTGCACTACTGAGGAATAACTCAATAGGTTCATTAATGGCAGAATGGATAATAAACAATTTGTTGCACAACAATAAAATGAATGAACAACGTGAATGTACTTCACAAACTTAATAGTGAACAAGAGAAGCCACTCGAAATATACATGCTATGTGATTCCATTTATATAAAGTTTAAACTTGTCAAATAAAATCTATGATGTTGGCCAGCTGGTCTGAAGTGCAAGGAGGCATGCGGGAACTCCCAGACTTGCAGATAGAATCTGTTTGACCTAGTTTGGATGGCTAGCTGAACAGAAATCAACCAGATAACAACAACAACAACTTCAACTTAAAAAAAAAAAGTTTTTAGTCCATTTTGGATACAGCTGCAAACACTGAAACTAAGAGTCCAGTGTCTCAATTGCTGTTTCTGTCTCGCAATTATAGGCCTTTTGTCTATAACTGGGCTATGACAAGGCACTTATAAGCTGCTCTAAAGGTTAAATGAAAAGCACACAAATGTTCTCTCCAAAACAACCTTATAACCCTGGGTACTTACTCCCTTCACTTGCTTCAGTCTGTTGTATTCATCAGCAGCTGCCTGTTAGTGAGAAACACAAGAGAATACACATTAGAGGGGTACTTTGTCTCTCGAGAAAAATGTTTCTGATGCTATACTTTAGAACTAAAAATGTTACCTTCTAACAAAAAGATAGCATAATGAAGTCTTCAGGCTGGAGAGTGTGAAAGAATCCACAGAAGAAACATTCACAACATTATCTATGTATTTCTCATGCCCCATTCACACAAGCAGGTAACGCTATTTGCTCTGCTGTTTTTCAGCCCTCCCACCTGCCCCGCACACAGGAAAGGTGTCTTCTACGGCACAGCTATGGTCAGGTTATATCTCACTACAAAACTAAGCCAGCCTCTGCTTTTGTTTCTCTACAAACCTAGTCTCCCACCTTTCCTGTGCCAACGCTCATCATTTACCAGTCCTTAAAATACACTAAGCACACTAATGCTTCCAGATCTCTGATCATACACTCCTTATAGCTGTAAAATCATGCTTCCTGCTTTTTGTCTGGATAAATTCTTTATTTTTTTTTTAATAGCAAGCATGAAAATTTCTTAAAGCATAGATGTTCTTGCAGAGAGGAGAACGTGCTACTCCTTGCAAATGAAGAGAGTGCTGAGTGAGTTCCTGGTTTCATTTTTCATGCTGCCATCTTCTGGGGCAGACTCAGGTTCTCCTGATAGTTATCTCCTGATTCCTACATTTTCGTATCACAATGTAGGATTCATTATTGGTCATATAGTCCCAAGCTTGATATACTTCCTTCCCATTACATAGGGTAAGTCTGAGTCTTTCCTGTGCATGCCTGATTTAGGGGAAAGACCACTTTTCTATCTTTCCTTTTACTAGGCTCTCCTGATAGGTCATGTTGTTTCCTGCAATTTTTGTGACTGATATGTGGTTAGCCCCTCCCTCTTCCCTATTTTAAATGCCTAACACTAACACTTATTACATTACAAGGGGGAATAAACCCTCTCAAGAAATGCTAGAAGTGGAAAATGCAAATGTATGGAGTGTCTGCAAAAAAGTGGAAGACCCTCAATGAGATGGATCGGCAGAGTGAGATGAACAATGGCTCAAGCATAACAATAATTGTGAGGATGACACAGGACCAGGCGGTGACCACACAGAAATATTGCCAAAAGACAGAGAAAATGTTATTTTTTAGAATTGTTTAGGCAAGTTGCTATTTTTTTGAAACCATTGTATTAGATTTGAAGGTTTTTTTGTAGATCCAATATATGTCTTGATAAATTCTTAACTTCCCCTGGAACTCCCAGACCTTGAGCAGGCATGATGCCTTCTCTGAGCAGTCAGTTACAGACCTTTCTGAACATAATGCAAACACAGCAGTTATCACACCAAGACGTTTGATGTCAGTGTCTCTCTTAGACTATGAGCTCAAAATCACGGCGGGCAGAGAGAGGGTTATATTTCTCATTCTAACTTCAGCACTTTCATATCATTTAGGAAAGAATTAAGTATCTAATAAATGTTTATTGAATTCAAAGTGTTTGTGACCACCCTATACAGAAACCACAAAAGAAAATGATAATAAAATCAAATTATATGAGGGGGCGTGGGCTTCTAAAAGTTTGTGGAAAATGGCATTTAAAGACAATGAACAAGAATGTTTGATGTCAGTGTCTCTCTAAGACTAGAAGCTCAAAATCACGGCGGGCAGAGAGAGGGTTATTATTTCTCTTTCTAACTTCAGCACATTTGACTTGGCTTCAATGGCTGGATAATTAGAACTCTACTAGAAAAAGAAAGAAGAGGTAAAAAAGAGTAATCCAGTATAATTTGATGAACTTGACCTATACTTATGAATGTAGTAGCTCAAAAGAGGGAACAAATCTTTACAGCAAGGATCATTCCCACCCCTTTGGTACACAGGCTTGACAGGGATGGGCAACTTAGACATTGGCTACCCAAAATGGAGGAGCTACAAAGGCACAAAGTGACTAGCTTACAAGCTTTCAAGAGGGAGCCTAGTTCCAGAGGGTACAGGGGAAGGCAGAATCTCCACTGAGTGGTTTCCAATCTGTCTGGACAGGTTGGTGAAAGGAGATGGGGATAGGACTCCTGTGGTTCAACAGTGAATAGTTGCTACCAGGACTGATTGTAAGTGTTGCAAATGTAAAGATAGACGTTTTGTAACAAAAGGAGGGGAGTGGTTGATCTTGCAGTCCAGGGGCGGAGGGCTCTTGGACCATCAAGGGTGAAGAGTGGAGTTCAGGACCCTGTCCAGAGAAGCAGTGATGCCAGAGATGGAGGCAGAGATGGAGGCAGAGATGATGATGTGTGGAGAGATGAAGCGGCTAGGGACTCTGGACTCAGGGAGGGAGAGGGGCTGTGTGCTGATGGCCGGGGGGCAGGTTTGCAGGGTTGTTTGAATGGTTAATATGCCTATATTCTTGAGTACTTCAGTGTACATCCAAAAAACAAAAAACAGAGGAATGGAAGCAAATGCTGTTGAATGATGATGCATGGAGGGGATTGTAATCATTGCAATGAAATGAAATACAATAGGATGAATGTAAAGCTGATGTTTTCCCATGTAAACTATCACTCAATTCATAATAAAAACTTAAAAAAAAAGGCAATGAAAATTTCCCACCAACTTTTAAAGCTTTTAAAGCAAATACTTCCATATTGAAAGGTAGAATGCCTCAATAGCAAAATGGCAGAAGGTAATAAAATTAATAGGAATTTACAGTAAATTTATGAAATGATGCAAAAAAAAGGTTTAATTTCTATGACCTTACCCTAATATAAAAGGCAACGATTTTTCGGAGGGGATTGCAATTATTGTAATGATGTGTATGATTGGTTGAATGTAAAAACTGATGATATACTCTGTAAACCTTCACTCAATTCACAATAAAACATTTTTTAAAAGGCAGTAATTTTTTAGGCACATGCAAGTCAAATGAGTTCCTGCAAAGTGTATTACTGAGAGGAATGTGTTTGGTAAAAAAAAATCTTTGATAGGTAGATTTTTTCATATCCAAAGGTTAAAGTTGTGTAATCTCATCTTCTGGAATTTGTTCTGGGTAGATAAACAAACAGATCAGCAACATAGAAAATGACTTTGAAGTAAATTATGGTACAACTATGCTATTGTTACATAGTTATTAAAAAACAATTGGATTGTATAGGTATAAGTTTTGTAACAAAAAGAGGGGAGTAGTTAATTTTACACAGTCCTGGAACAGAGAATCCTAGGACCATCAAAGGAGAAAAGCACAAATGGAATGTGGGACCCTATGCAGAGAAGCAGCGACACCATTGGTGGAAGCAGAGATGAAAGCCATGGAGAGAGAGCAGCTGAGGACTCTAAAGAGAAAGGCTGTGTGCTAGCAGCCAGGGAGCAGGCTTGCAAAATGTGCAAAATGTGTTTTTGTGTACATTGCCCTCCCCCACCAAAAAACAAAAGGAATAGAAACAAATACTGTTGAGTGATAATGCACAGAGGAGATTGTCATCACTGCAATGAAACGAGTGTAAAACTGATATGCCCCCATGCAAATTAATCATTCAAGTCACAATAAAAACTAGAAAAAAAAACAAAACCCCTAAGGAGCAGACACGAGGTCTTCTGAAACTCCTCTGGGTGGATTTGAACTTCCAACCTTTCAATCAGTAGTTGAGCCACCCAGGGACTGCTGGGAGTTCAAAAGCCAATAAGGTTACTTCAGAGCAGCAAGTATCTTAAGTGTAAAGTTTGGCTTATTGAATTTGAGTATTTTGGTTACAAGTTCTGTTGACTTCTCCCTAGTTCCAGTGTCTTTTCATTAAAATCTATCAATATTGATCAGAAAAAAAAATGTCTATGGGATAGACTCCCATCGACCTGGAAAGGAGAGAGAGAAGAGGAAAGGCTGGTTGATCTGAAGTCAGTTGAGATCTGGGAACTCCTGAGCCCATAGACAAGCACATAGCCACAGAGGGCTAGAACTGAGAGTGAAGCATCCTAACCTTTCCCTGACAATCTGACCTGGACCTAAGCCTCTTTCATTTCTACAGCTGTGGGAGCCATTTTCTTTCTGTTTACTTTTGAGAACAATTTAGCAAAATAAAATCCTGGTTTATTGTGAGACAATATTGTTTCACGCATACATAAACAAGCCATAAACATAAACAGTGACTTCACAAAGAAAAAACAAACCGGGAGAGAAACCTTTTTATCTTGGGCCTTTTTTAACCATTGCATACAAACCAACTACTTATAGTACAGCTTAATACATACACACAAAAAAGTTACTGGAATGCTTCGAATGAGAGTATAATTTTTTGTTGTTTTTGCTTTTTGTTACAAGGTTGTTGTTTTTTTCTCCTTTGAGATTATGAGCATGGTCACACTACAAGTATATAGTCAGGAGTAGGACAGAGAATGCTCTAAAGGCTGACTTGGTTATCCAAGATCTTTAAAAATGGCTGATCCATAACAATATATACAAAAATATAAAATGTAAATAAAAACAATAAAAGAAAACAAAACACAACGGATCTTTATTATTGTCATGAAAACCATAAGCTATTATTGTGTAATAAAGAAGTATATAAGTAGTGATAGAAACTGCTCTAAATTGTGAGACTAGATTTGTTTGTTTAAAACAAAACAAGATAAAAACCAACAAACAAAAGAAAAAGGAAGTGATGAAAGAGAAACAAAAAAATCCCACAATGATGGAGTTATGTCAAGGACAACAGAGCTCCCAATAGTCAAAGCTAGAACAATCTGAGCATCATATTAAGAAAAGGAGATTAGTATTAACTTGTGTTGTTAGGTGCCATCAAGTCGGTACCGACTCATAGCAACCCTATGCACAACAGAACAAAACACATCAAATATAACCATGAGTCTATGGTAACTGAATGAATGAATACATACATACAAATCTCTTGTTCAGAAGAATTCTAAATAATTTAGGGAAATGCTTTGTTTTCATACGGGTAGCACATAACTCCCCATTCCTTGAATATGGGCTGCATTAGTAACTTCCAAATGTACAATATGGAAAGAGGGAACAGTAACAAAGGAGAAATCTACACAACACTCCCTCAACCAGGTGATCAACAACAACAAAAAGATAATCAGAAACTAGTACACCCTCGGAAACCCTGTACAAGGTCGCTATGGGTCGGACCCGACTCGATGGCACTTAACAACAACAACAACAACAACAACAAGTATAAAGTTAAAAAAAACCAATAACCCCCAAACCAGAAAGGATACAAGTAAAATATATACAATGGTTTTACATCAAAACTGATGTATATAAATGTTGTCAGGTTCTGACACACAGTAACCATATGTATAACAAAACAAGACATGGCCCTGCGCCATCCTCACATTGTTAAATTTGAGCCGATAGTTGCAGCCAGGTGTCAATCCATCTCATTAGCAGTCTTCCACTTTTTTGCCAGCCCTCCCTGCATTTTACCAAGCATGATGTCCTTCTCCAAAGACTGATTCTTCCTGACATGTCCGAAGTATGAAAGACAAAGTCTTACCATCCTGGTTTCTAAGGAGCATTCTGACTGTATTTCTTCAAAAACAGATTTATTGATTCTTCTGGCAGCCCATGGTACTTTTAATATTTTCCTCTAACACCATAATTCAAATGCATTGATTCTTCTGTGAAATTCTTTATTCCTTGTTTATCTTTCACATGCATATGAGGCTACTGAAAATACCATAGCTTGGATAAGGAGCACTTTAGTCCTCAAACTGATATCTTTGCTCTTTAACAATTTAAAAAGGACTTTGGCAGCAGATTTGCTTAATGCAATACATCAGTTTGATTTCTTGACTACAGCTTCCATGAGTGTTGATTGTGAATCCAAACAAATAGAAGTCTTTGAAGACTTCAGTCTTCTCTCCATTTTCATAGTGTTATTTGTTGGTCCCATTGTGCAGAATTTTACTTTATTTACATTGAAGTGCAATCCATACTAACGGCTATAGTCTTTGATCTTCATCAGTATTTTTCACCTTTTCACTGTCAGCAAGTAAGGCTGTGTCATCTGCAGATCACAACTTGTTAATGACTTCGTCTCCAAGCCTGATGCCACATTTTTCTCATATAATGCAGCTTCTTGGATTATGTGATCAGCGTACAGATTGAATAAATAGAGTAAAAGGACATATTCCTGGTATACACCAATTTTAAACCATTTGGTATTCCGTTGTTCTGTTCGAATGACTGCCTCTTTAGTCTGTGTACAGGTTCCCCATGAGCACAATTAAGTGTTCTGGAATACCCATTCTTTGCAACTTTATCCACAGTTTGTTATAATTCACACAGTCAAATGCCTTTGTAGGTTCAATAACGCACAAGTAAATTTCTGGTATTTTCTGCACTCAGTCAAGATCCATCTGACAACAGCAATGATATCCCTTGTTCCATGTCCTCTTCTGAATCTGGCTTGCATTTCTGGCAGCTCTCTTTCAGTGTAGTACTACAGCTGCTACTGAATAATCTTCAGCATATTTTGAGAGCTCATCTTCTGGCACTATATCAGACAACATTCTGCTGCTACTCATAAGGTTTGCAGTAGCTAACCTGTCAGAAGTGATCTGCCTCTCCTTCTTTCTAGTCTGTCTTAGTCTGATGTTGTTGTTGTTG